ATGATGTTGATGGATTTAAATGAGAATGAGAATCGTTTCAATTTATGTTTAACGTGATTTTTTTTATTAAACTTTAAAATTGATCACTTTCGGAAAATTTAAAAAGTATAATTATTAATTAACAGTGAAGTGTAGAGTATATACTACATAATAATATAGACCATGGCATTAAATTACTAATAAAATGARGTGGTGCTGGAACTTTATCAACTTTAAAACTGTTCTAAAATATGTTAACCGAAAAAATGCATTAAAAAAACAATCATTGCAGTAAAACTAAATATAGGTTTTTCACTTGACACTTCGCTTTCGATGTTTTAAACTTTGAACTCTCTACGATTTTATAGATATAATAGGATATGTATTGGTGTAAGGACTAAACATTTATGTTATATTTTAAAAATTGTAAAGAATTCTTTAAATAATATTAGGTGTTCATTATATAAGTCATTTCTAAATAATTGATTTTTTATGTAGTCTTGAATTTTAATATTCTTAATTATGTATGTGGAATAGGTAATATAAATTAGGTACCTATATACTCTATTAATTCTTTTTATTAATACAGTTATTTATTTCTGCAGAGGTTTATTGGAACAGAGGTTCAAGATACATATGAATTTATTTGTTGCTTTATCATTACAAATGTTCATTAAATTAATTTTAAATATTGATAAACTGGACTTATTTAAAACTAAAAAATACCGTTCAAATGTAACTTGTCTTGTGGACTGTAACAACCAAATACGTTTAGTAAAAGATGAAGACAATTGGTTTTTTGGAATTATGTACACGGTACGTTTTAAAAATATAGTGATTTAATTAAAATTATATTAACAGCGTGTTTTTTTAGCCAATAATTTGTGAGGGTATTCTAGTCATATTGGAGTGGTCTAAAACTGCTAGTTTTATGTGGATGTACAACGAAGGAGTATATCTGTATAGAATAATAAAATCCAGAGTTTTAAGAATAAACTCAATAAATTTTCGAATGTATCTATTTGGTTGGGGTGTACCAGCTTTGATGACATCTGTATGGTTGTTGGTAACAATGGTTTACTACAAAAAGTCATCTAGTGTCTGTTGGTGGGGCTACAGCTTGTTACCATTTTTTTGGATTCTTGAAGGACCCCGCTTGATCATTATCGTAGTAAGTTTAGGTTTAACAAGTCCTAAATAGCTCATTAATCAAATTTATTATTTACTTAATGAAAATGTATTATATTTTATACTTTTTAACATTAGGTAAATTTCATAATATTAATTATTGTATTGAGAGAGTTGTTGAAGAAAATTAAATCAAAATTATCACCGTCAAACGAGTTGGATATCATAAGGTACTAATTTTTTTATACGTAAACTTTAATATGATTTGACAAAATATCAATGTTTATGTCTACAATATTATTTTATGTATTTTGTACTAGAAAAGTATCCAAAGCAGCCATAGCTCTTGTCCCTTTACTTGGGATTACAAACTTTATATTAGTTATATTACCTGAACCGCATTCAAAAAGTCCTGAATTATTTGCTTTCTGGTCATATTCCGCACATATATTACACTCGTTCCAGGGCTTAATGGTGTCGATATTATATTGTTTTATGAATAAAGAAGTAAGTATGCTAAACCATAAGAAAATAATAAGCACCTACATATAATTACATATAATAAGGTTACAAATTATTTACATCATTCATAAATCATAATAATTAAGATTCACAACTAATTTAGTTTTTAAACATATTTAATAAAAATAAATAAACTATCGATTTTACAGTTCCATCGTGTTATGTTGTATGTAATGTAGAACTTAATAAACTAATTAAATTTTTWAACTTTTTTGTACATATACTGTATCCGTATACATTAATAAAAAAAAATGGGTATATTATTGATATGTCTAGATGCATAATTCCATAATCTTATAAGTGTCAAGTTGTCATATTATTAAAGATTTCAAAAATGGCTATTTATACGAAATAGGATACAGTCAATGTCGTAAGATCATCATACGGAAAAAATAAAAACGAACCATTTCAATAATCAAAAATGACTACACAGATAAACAATCATAGTCGTAAAACAATCGAATTATAATTCATTCAGATCACAAGGAACTTAGGTTTATGAAACCAGTCGTCACCAGATAAATATATTTCAAGATACTCGAGTTTTTGATTAGTGATTTTCTTATTTCACAAGTCTTTACACTAAAAACATAATGAACAAAAATGTAGTTATAAGCCTGATATCAAATTAAACGTATGAAATATAAATACGATTCAACTGCAGAATAGATAAGTCTTAAATAGCATTTTGCATGCATATTGCATACCAATATATTATACATACACCACATATATTATGATGAAGCAYCATTGATGATTAAAATGTATAGGTTCTAGGTTCCAAAATAATATACGACATAATTAATGCAATAAAAATAATATAAATCATTATAATAATTAAATAATAACTTATCMTAGCTCTAAGCTATATTGTGTACATATTATAGACTATAATCGATTCATAACAATATTATTGTTATTATGGTTTATCATTTCATGTATTATTGTGGATATAATAATACAATATAAATAAATAATATTTATTGATCATTGACTACATCATTATCACTGTTGCAGATTAAAAAGTCGTTTGATAAACGAATGATGCTTCAAAAATCACGACGAAATTTTGAGATGGAAATGACATAATTTATTTAAAACTTAGACTATCATAATATTTTTTATAAATATAATTCAATTTTTTTATGAATAATACTATGTGTCTACATTATATATTTGGTTTCTGGTATTTAATTAACTGTTATGTGCACTATAAACTAACTATTMATTTTATGTACTTAACAGTAAAAAAATTTGGTTTATAATGCATGCAGAATAGGAAATTAAATTTTAAATAAATGCTTATATTACTATAAGGTTTGTACACAATGTATTGTTTCAAAAATATATTGTTTTAAATTATTTGAAGTATAATGTTTATAATTCTATTTTTTTTTATTAACTCAATCAATTTTATATAATTATATTGCACTAAAATTAAATATTGAAAAAAAAATTATAGTTTTAATTTTATTGTAAAACAAAATTAAATTTATTTARTGCTTAATCAGTTATTGCAAATATGTTAGGTTTAAATAATTCAATAGATTTTTAAATAAGAAATGACAACATTTTAAATTGTATTAACTGAATTATTCACAGAAAGAATATAACTTGATTGTAGGTATAACTTTATAATACCATAATTGATAAATTGCCCAGTATATAGGTATCTAACCTAACCTCAAGCCCAAATTAAGGGGGGCAGGGGGGCCAAGTCCCCGGGGTCCACGTGTGTAATTTTATTTTTTATTTTTT